TATATATATGTATATTTAATAAGTTATTTCATTACAATCTGTCCAGCAGTTTATGAGACATTTTGCTAACAGACAGAAAAGTTTGACTATTAATTATCAACTTCTAGATCAAGACCTTCAGTATATTGTTAGATCTCAGACTGTGTATTGATGATGATGATGTGATGATGGCTCTCGGCTACCACCACATACAAAACCCTTGGATAGTGACTGATGAGACTGAGCAGCTGATGTAAGTCTGACCTGTCGCTCCAATAGATGTAGTTCTCGAACACAGACACAGAGAACATGTCCATGTTGTTGCTGGCCAGAACCACCTCTCTGTTTTCTCCCGTCTCCAGGTTAATGCGCTCAATCTTGTCTGTTCTGGCATCACACCAGTACAACAGACCCTCCTGCACGCCAACAGAAAGTCATGACAATGTTTTGGTGCTATTTCCACTCTCTGTGTTCAAGATAAGTGAGCTGAATTTAAATAAAACAAAGTGTGTTTACGTTTATTACCTCATAGTCGATGGAGATCCCATTGGGCCAGCTGATGCTGACATTAACCAGGACAGCCCTCTGGGAGCCATCCAGGCGAGACCGCTCAATGCGGGGGTACTGGCCCCACTCGGTCCAGAACAGATAGCTGTGTGCACAAACCACAAAGAGAAGCTCAGAGGCAACTTCCCCTGTAATCGATACAGAGATAAATGACAAAAGGTCAAAGCCAAACAAGTGCAGTGTTTGTTCCCCGCTCACCCTTTCTCAGGATGCACAGTGATGGCGCGGGGCTTGTCCAGGCCCTGGGAGACCACCACGTAGCGGAAGGAACCATTCAGTCGAGCAACCTCGATTACATCGAAACCTTGGTCTGTCCAGTAGATGTTTCCTGTTCAGGGCAGAGGAGGAGGAGTGAAGTTCAGGCAGACCTCAGGCTGTATGTGTTCATCCTGTTCTTTGTATGTTCTGAATCTGCATGTTTAACTGCATGTAGGCCAATTTAGCATCAAATACCACAAAGTCAGGCRTTTTAATACAGAATGTGTGTTTTGATTGTGTTGTGTTGTGTTGTGTAGAATGTTCATCAGAAGACAACACTTTTTGGATTCCCCTTCATCTGTCTTGCATGAAACTGACTCTTACTCAGTATTTCTGGCTATTTAATTATATTTCATCTTTGTGTAACACAGTTTAGAGCTGCATTTGTGGATGCACAGTTCATTAGAACTGTGTTCAGTCATGAGCAATAAACTAATTTCCTCCAATTTTTCTAATGAGCCCAAAGTTCAGTGATTATAAACACTCGATACCCAGTTTGAGTTTTGTAAATTTACTTTACTTGTTTCTAAATCTTAATCATTCACTGAAACTGGTGAAAACCTCAAATTACAGAAGATAAAAAAGTAAATTACATCAAATAAAAGAAAATCCTACATTTTTTTCCAAGAAAAAAAAAGTACTTTTTCCAAAATTAGATGCTGTTTTATTATGATAATATGAAGCTCATTTCCAAATTGTACATTAATTTGGGGGGGGGGGTGTATTTTCCAGGCACATAGGTAAATTCAATACCACCATGAAGTAACTACAGTATATTACCCTCCATTGTTACGAAAATTCTGTATATACATCAAAAATACAGCTGACTTTTCATCATGCCATGAAACTGGTCTCTTTAAGAACATTCTACCATTTCTGACACTCCCACTTCAACTCGTCTTCACAACAATGCTTCATGCTGTTTACAACCTTTTGTAACAGTGTTGCAGGAGGGTAGTCATCTTGGCATCCAAAAATACATTTCTTCCATGGAAGCATTTTTTTTTTATCTGAAAAGGACTGGACTGAGAAGTGGTGAGTAGAAGCTTAACAAACGTGCAGCTCCAGGGAGAAGCTTTGTGGAAGCAGTGGTGGACAGTAACAAAGTACATTTACTTTATTACTGTAATTAAGTACATTTTTGAGTAT